CGCAGAGGACCAAACTATCAAAAACCTCGACGGGAAATACGTCTGGCAATTGGGTGGGCTCGAGATTTCTAGAAGCCCAATCGAAAACGGACATGAGGTTTCGTATCCAGTTGAGGCTGAGCTTGCCATCGGGAGGCCAAACAATTGGGATTTCGAGCTCAGTCGATGGTGGTGATGGGTTGTCTTCAGAGTTGGTGACGATGGAAGACGATGAATCGAAGACTGGGGGTTCTGCAACTTCTGCTGCTGGTGCTCCAGCAGATTGGTGATCTTGGGGTGTGAGAAGTGGAGAAGATGAAGATTGCGATGCAGATGCTGCTGCTGCCCTTTCTGTATCAGAATTGCATGACATCTTTTTGAAGATCTCAATAATATTTTTTTCTCAAACCCTAACAAATACAAATCAATATGAATTTATGAATTTATACTTACATAGATACATTCATCAGCCAAATTTAGCAGCATATAAAACAGAGTGTACTGCACTTATTCTAATTATTCACTTCCAGTTTTACACACAATTTTTATTTTTATTAATATTTTCTTTTTTCGTATTTGCTTGTAGTGCACAGTGACGTACAGTTCGCTAATTCACAGTTAATTTGTCAAAAAAATAATTAAATTGAGAGATAATGGCCGCTTCAGCATAGAAAATACCCGCGAAACGTCCAAACTTTGCTGAGTTGGTGTTGTTTTTTCTGTTTTGTGCTATTTAAACTCAAAAAATTTGATCTTCATATTTGGTATCAAGGCCTCTTTACAATTATTTCAGGTAACTTTTCGGGCCATAGTGGTTGGTCCTAGCCAAATCCGAGTGTCGTTTGTGCTAACATTGAGAAAATTTGTTTGGTGTGACCGTCATCACGGATGATACCAATTTTCAATCATATTATAACACGTATTTTTTATTTATTAATATCATACCCAATCAACAACACATCAAACATATTATCTACATCATGACGGTGTGACAGACACATTCTAATTTTATTTTCCAGAGGCAAGCCTGGTCCGATTTCAATTGGGCTCGAAATATTTTACTGGCCGAGTCGTAACCCAATAAATTTGTAGAAATATGGCCCAACATATGATTGAATGGACAGGCCCAATTTGGCCGAGCTCAGTTTTTGGGTCAAATTTATCTTTCAATATTAAATTAAACTTGATAGGTACTTAAACACTAAATTTTAAGTTCTTCAAATAAATTAAACAAAACGACTTTGATGATGTAACATAAGTTTAAATATACAATTTTAAGTTTTCAATTCAATGTCACATAAACAATTGTGATCAAATGAAACACATGTACTTGTTATATTAATTTTTTATTTTATTTTTCTGGAATGGTAAACAGGAATGGAAGAGAAGAATTTAGCAACTTGATTGACTGGGAGTCTCTCTTAATTTAAATTTGTGTGATATATGATGAGCCATTTGGAGCTTGTGGTCGCACGCCACGTCAGTCTTGATTATTATTTTAACAATATTTTTTCTTCTTCTAATCTTCTAAATCTAAATGGGTTAACGCAACATATTTTTCGATTCCCATCAGCCACCTTTACAAACTTGAGAAGTTCCAACGTTCCTGGAGAGCCACGACACCCCTCTCCCAGTCTCAAAGTCTTCACCAAATTCAAACCAGTTTAAATTAGTGGCAAATCCACAACCACAATGTGGTTGATGTTAAATTACGTGTAAAACTCGTTGTTATAAACAAATGAACAACTCGTCACATATTAATTTATTTGGAACGAGAAAAGTCGTGCATGAGAGAAGTCGATAACATAGAGACACGTAATTGAAATTAAATCAATTTAATTCATAATTATTCGGATATTAATTTACAGTTTTATGTATTTTATCTCCAAAACATACCATAATATAAGATAATGCATATATTAATGGTGTGAAAAAGCCTACAATTCGCATTCCAATTCCCGTAGGAACTGGTTTCCAAATTTCCAATGGCTCCTTTTCATGATTAAAAATAGTGCCTTGACTTCCCATGCACACGCAAATCTATATCTGTTGATTCTTGACCAGCTAAAGGACGTACCCTACTTTCCATTACCTAGAAATTAAAAGCTTCATATGCACGTAATTGAAATTAAATCAATTTAATTCATAATTATTCGGATATTAATTTACAGTTTTATGTATTTTATCTCCAAAACATACCATAAGATAAGATGATGCATATATTAATGGTGTGAAAAAGTCTACAATATTCGCATTCCAATTCCCGTAGGAACTGGTTTCCAAATTTCCAATGGCTCCTTTTCATGATTAAAAATAGTGCCTTGACTTCCCATGCACACGCAAATCTATATCTGTTGATTCTTGACCAGCTAAAGGACGTACCCTACTTTCCATTACCTAGAAATTAAAAGCTTCATATGCATATGCTGAAAACTTTGAGAAGGTTGATAACCAAACAAGGAAAATGTGAACAATTTTGTCCCCAATTTTGAGATCATATTTAGAATTTTGGAAAGAAAAATTAAAATACAATGTTGATAGATAACCTTTGGTCTTTTTATGCTACAACTTTAGATTAAAGAAGTTAGTGTTAGTCACAAAGCAGCCTTGTGACTAATTAGTAATGTCCTTGTGAGATAAAATTAATATTATTTATCGAAAAACCCTAATGAAAAAGTTAACCACTCTACCAAAAAAAGACATTTCAGAAGTCAAACTTGGTTAGAAACTTAGACCACGATATTAGATTAGCAATTTGCAAGGGGTTTGTCCCCACAAATCACTCATGGAAATCAAACTTTGTCTAATAATTTGGCTACTTTAGTCACCTAATTTGAAAAGGATACACTTGGGTTTCCTCTTTCTTTTGTCCCCTATGGACCTCCAATACCAATTATTCAAAACTTAGCTTTCTCTGAGTGCACATAAACAAATGTATAACCCAAGTCACATCTACATTGTAAAACCTACACCTCTCTCTCTCTCTCTCTCTCTCTCTCTCTCTCTCACATGCATACACATATTTAAGATTCCACAGTGCACCCAATTGACAATGCCTTCCAAAAGTCCAAAACACTCCAAAGACCACAAATTTCTAAGCCCCTTCCCTCCAAGCTTAGCCTTCTTAATCATTACCTCACCATCCAAAAAGTCATTCTTCAACCTTATTTATATCCCCACACCACAACATAATTTGCATTATTTGTGCCCTTTGGCCCCTTCAGGCTGCTTTAGTAGGATATTTTGTTGTTCATTTGTTTGTGCAGAGCTGCCAACAAAAAACCCAAGAAAATTGAATGACCAACAACATGGGCCACATGAACTACAACAGAGTTGGAAATAGCAGAGGAAGCAGAGGTTTCAGGCTAAACCCAAGAAGATTTTCAGTCTCGAGGCTCCTACGTGCCCGGTTCGTGTGCTTGTTCAGGTTCTTGAGATGTTCATATGGGCAAGCTTTGCAGTCTCTCAAGAAAGGCATGAGCAGAAGTAGCAGACCAAGTGCTGGCTCTGGCCCTAGCAATGTCAAGAGGAACAACAGCAGCTCAAGAAGGAGTTTGGTCACAGAAACACACCAAAAGAAGGCACGGTCAGGACCAGCTGATTGCTGTAGGTTGAGATCATTTGCACGGTCCAACTCCTTTTATGCAGAAGCCATTGCTGACTGCTTGGAGTTCATCAAAAGGTCTTCTATTTCTCTTGATCAAAACCCAGTCAACCAAAGATAGAGTACTTCTAGTTCCTGTCTTCTATTTTCTGTTTGTGTTGCAACAAATATATATGTTTTTGTGTATATTATTTGTTTGTACTGGAGAATTGCTATGTTTCTCTCTGTCTCTCTGTATGTCTCTGATCATGATCAGGAGTTTTGGGTTTTGGAGGTGACATGAAATTTGTGTAAAAAGATTGATGAGTTATCTGAGAATTGGTAGAGTTTGTTTGTCTTTAATCTTTCTCTTTTCATATATATATTTTCAAGTTATTAGTATGAATTAAAATAGATAGTGAGATTCTGTGGTGGGTGATGTGAGGTGGCAATCTTTTGAGAAGGTTCGTAGTAGGTTTGATTGCAGACCGAAATAGTTTGTTTTTACCACCTAACCTATTTTCTATTATTTTATTTGATGGAAGGAGAGAGAAAAACAAAGGGGAAAAGGAAATTTCTTTGTTGAAATTAAGAAGAGAAAAAGCCATCGCATTCATATTTCGAACTTTAAGAAAGTTGAGTGGTTCATATTTCAAAAAGGGTACCCACCATCTGGTTGTTTTCGAGGATTAAAGCAAAAGTCTATTATTAACACTAATGATGTTGATGCAGTCCACTAATTGCTCACCTTTATTAGTTAATGGTCTAATCCATATGGAACATTAAAAGAGAAACAAGGGAAAAAAGGGCTTTGGGTTTTTCTGTAAATTGGAATTTAGTGTGGTGGTTTCAAAACCTACTGTGGCCCCTTCTCAATTTGAAGATATGCCTCAAGGCCCAAGCAACATAAATATAAGGAATGTGACTAACAAAGCCCAGTCCCTTTTTCTTTTTCTTTTTTCTTTTTCCAAAATAAGAAATAGAACTTATAGAAGTACATTGGAGTAAGTTGCAAGTTGTATGCTACAATACCAAATACCAATAAGATTGGAGAAAAAACTCCATTGTTATCACTAGTAACAGTCGTTGATGTAAGTGAACCTAACAACGCATCAATGACTAACAATCACTCACACGCACATAAACGATTGTTTCTTAAATAACTCATAAAATCGAACCTAATTGGTTAAAGGGTTCTTATAAAGAAATGGGCCCTACAATTTCTATACCCACTTTTGGCATTTGGCATTTTGGTCAAGTTGGGTTTAAGTAGCAAAGCAAGGCACAAGGTTACTTACTCTGTTCATAAGATAGTGAAGTCTTGTTTACCAAGCAAATTTTTATGCACACACACCTCCCTATAAATAATCAAGAATCGATAGTAACGTTTTTTTGGAGACATATTGGTATAATAGCAGAAGGCGCGCTTGGGCAAGAAGAAAAAACGCGTTTGGATACAAAATTGGCCGCGACCGCTGACTAGTAATTTTGTTTGACCAGTTCTTTGGTTGTGGCGTTCTGCTCTGTTTGGGCCTTGGTGCATAAAGTTTGTATTCGTTTAAAAAAATGAAATTTTACCCAAACCCAAACAAGGTGCTGAGTCTGCTGAGAAGAGCTCGCAGCGCAGTTGGGGTAGCAGCAGCAGCTTCGTTTTCGTCATTGCCTTCGTCTTCGTCATTGCCTTCGTCTTCGGCCTACACGTCAGCGCCCAAACTAGCGTCAGCCATGGACGACCTGCAAACCCTAAAGACCAAGCTCTGCATCATCGGCAGCGGCCCGGCGGGGCACACGGCGGCCATTTACGCCGCTCGAGCGGAGCTGAAGCCGATCCTCTTCGAGGGCTGGATGGCCAACGACATCGCCCCTGGAGGCCAGCTCACCACCACCACCGACGTCGAGAACTTCCCGGGCTTCCCCGACGGAATTATGGGCGGCGAGCTCATGGACCGCTGCCGGAACCAGTCTCTCCGTTTCGGCACTGAGATCTTCACCGAAACGGTCAACAAAGTCGACTTCTCCAGCACCCCCTTCAAGGTCTTCACCGATTCAAAGACCGTGCTCGCGGACTCCGTTGTTGTGGCAACTGGCGCTGTCGCCAAGCGCCTCGTATTTCCCGGCTCCGGCGAAGGCGAGGGCGGCTTCTGGAACCGCGGTATTTCGGCCTGCGCTGTTTGCGACGGTGCCGCCCCGATATTTCGGAACAAGCCGCTGGCGGTGATCGGAGGAGGTGATTCGGCCATGGAGGAGGCTAATTTTCTCACCAAGTACGGGTCAGAAGTGCACATAATTCACCGGAGGGACGCATTTCGGGCTTCGAAGATTATGCAGAATCGGGCCCTGAGCAACCCGAAAATCAGAGTTGTGTGGAACTCGGAGGTGGTGGAGGCCTATGGGGGAGAGAAGGGGGTTCTGGGAGGGCTGAAGGTGAAGAATTTGGTGACTGGGGAGGTTTCGGATTTGAAGGTTTCGGGTCTCTTCTTTGCAATAGGGCACGAACCGGCGACTAAGTTTTTGGGTGGGCAATTGGAGCTTCATCCTGATGGGTATGTTGCAACGAAGCCAGGCACTACGCAGACGAGTGTAAGAGGAGTTTTTGCTGCAGGTGATGTTCAGGACAAGAAGTATAGGCAGGCTGTCACTGCCGCTGGAACTGGTAACTCTTCTTAATCCATAGCCTTCCTTCAGCTTTAAATGAGTCTTCTTTCTTAGTTCTAACTAAAAAATTGATGTCTATTTTGAAATGCCAATTTGAAGTAGCTTCATAAATGTATACTCTTATAACATGATCAGCATATATTTTAATTGCATTTCAATTATAAAGTCCTACTTATTGAGTTGCATACTAAGCTCAAAATGTGAATAGGCATACATTCACTACTTTTTAGGGAAATGCTCACTTAGTGTTGATACATGTTAATATATATTATAGGTCAAATTGCCAGTCTTCTTGCGAAGGCTGTTTGGTAAGAAAACATTTCCTTTCCCGTACATTTGGGGGGCACTTCATTCCTCCCTTTCCATGATGATATTGGAGACTTTTTGGTGAATGTTGCTTCTATATATATATGCACTATTGGCAACATCATGTGGGCAGATTTTCATTAAGTTTCTTCCTCAATTGCCCACTGACATGTTGTGTATAAAAGCTGTTTTGTTTCTGGTTTTAGAGGAGAGTTTGATCAGCTGCGTTTGTGTTCCATTTAACTATTATTTGTTTATTCATCTTTCTTTCGCATGCTTAATGCTACCACAATACCGCTTAACTATTACTCTAGGGGCCTGAGCTCTGCTATTCATAGCCAACTTTCGGTGGCTGAATAGTGAATAGCAAAGTAATAGTTTGGGATATGCAGATAGGTTGAATTCGAATTTTGACTGAAGCCACTCTCTACCCTTCTTGAATGCAGAGGACTTGATGTCACCCTGACCATTATTGAGCTGCCTTATATATGACATTAAGCTTGTGTTTGAGCTAGTCTTAGGTGCACTAGGTCAAGTTAGCCTCAAGGTTGTTTTGAATACTGGATAACATGAGCTTGGGCATGTGTGTACAATTGTGGCGCAAGCTTTGCCTCCAATCTTAGTTCATCAAGCTGTTTACAACACAAGATGAATTCCTAAAGTTACTCATGAATAGATACCTACCTGCTACATGTTCTCTAGTTTATTTGATTCTACTGACCTTAACTATATTGTTGATGACTTTGATTGTCACTGTTATTAATCTCATCAAGAAAATTTCTGGTTAAGATGTTACTATTTGCTCTAAGACATGATTTCTTTCATTCTATAATGACGCAGGATGCATGGCGGCCTTAGAAGCAGAACATTACTTGCAAGAGATTGGATCTCAAGAGGGTAAGAGGGATTGACTACCTCGGATTGGCGAGGGATCTAAGAGCTGCTTAGTTAGAAGCAAATATTAATGGACGATACATGATAAAGAAAGCTGTATTTTGATCCATTAAATATCCATCATTTGGTTGCAACTTGCAAGAGAATATTTGCAGGCATTCTTCAACTATATTTACTTATTTTACAGTACCTATTGTAGGATGTATTCATAATAAGCAGATGACTATGTTTCATGGCATGGCATTTGCAACCCAATGATATGCTAGTTTGAATTGAATGGCTTGAAATTTTGAATATTTCATTACTGTATTTTTTTTTTGCCAAAAATATTTCGTTACTTGCATTCAAAATTTTGATATTGGAATTGCTTTTCAGTTATGTGTGAGGTTGTACCTTTAGACTCTCATTTTCTTTCTCCCTTGGCGCATGCCTAGTCCAAAGCTTCGAGCTTGTAAATTAAGTGGTAGGGAAAGGATTCTTGATTCTGAAACATGTATATTTCACTTACTAAACTTAGAATTCAGATTGTGAGAATTTTTTTTATTTTATGGTATCGCGATGGTGATCAAATTGGAAGTTGAAATAAGTTTAACAAGTGGAGTTGCCAACGATTTTGTAATATCATCTATAGAGATCTCAACTATATGAATAGCCCCTTGACCAAAAAAAGAAAAAAAAAAAACTATACGAATAGCTTCAAAAGCCCAACACCATCAAATCATTATGCTCTTGCACTTCCAAGGTCCAGATTAGGCGGGCCTATAGTTATCTTGGACTGTCCAAATCTTCACTGAGTTCAATGTATATAAACTGATTGCTTGTTAGACAAGTGGTTAGTATAAATAGTTTTAATAAGGACAAATAGCATCCAAGCCGTCTTAGCTCAGCTGGTAGAGCGCGTGGCTTTTAACCACGTGGTCGTGGGTTCGATTCCCACAGACGGCGTAAGAACAAATTTAGTTTGGACTTTTGAACAAGCAAAAGCAAACCGTTTTGCTGCCATACTTTTTTGCTCTGTCTATTAAGTGAGTGCATCCAGTTTGCCTTTCAAAGTTGTATCCATGCATCCAATGCATGTGTATATAGACATTGTTACAAGTTACAATGACACTTCAATTCTGCATAAGCTAGCTAGTCTTGAAGATGTTCTAAATTATTGGCTCCCTTGCCTAATTCTTGTGAGAATTAATCAAGTTAGAGAGCATATTGTTATAAAGGGCACCGTATATCAAGATTACAAATTGCAATTACAAGGCCAGCCATATCTTTTCAAGCTTCCATGCAACTTGCAGGCACACACAACCTGCAAGCTAATGAAGAACGCTACAAAGGAAAAATGACAAAAAATCCCTTTCGGAATTATTTAATTTAACCCTAAAAGTTGATACAAGCTAGAAAATAGATTAACAAACAAATGAAAGATTACAGCCAAACTAAGAGCCAAGACCTCTTGGTCAGCAGAAGTGGCGGAATGAAGACAAACACAAAAGAAGATAAAAGAGCAGAAGTTGCTCTCATAAACCCCTCCCCCCACAATTCATAATTGCAGCCATTTTAAAGACAATCTTTTGGCCTAATTTTCCTTTTGTTTTTATTCCTTACCCATGTGACATCAGGAACCCACCATGTTCTTCCTCCAACCCCACCAACCAACAGTGTCCCTTGGTGAGCTTATTTGATTCTGGCTTGTTTTTTTCCCTAAATTTCCTTTTTAGTAGGCCCCAGTGGTCAAGAATCAATGGGGTTGGTTTAGTCTATTATGTGGAGGCAAGGTGTATGACATCCCTGCTAGATCTGTTGTATTTCATGTGGCTGGTCATAAGCTGGTCAGTATCAATAGCTGCCAGAAGAGAAACCTCCCCTGCCAGGACAGCACCGGCTACGATTCTGGCCAATTGCCTTGCGTTTGCACCGGGGGACTCTCTGTTCGCACCCTTCACACCCAGTAGGTTCAAGCAGGCTGACTGAGATGCAAGTTGTGTTCCTCCTCCAATTGTTCCCACCTGAAAAGTTCAAATTTTGCAAATTGAGATTAGCTGTCCATTTAATTGAACATCTCAAAGAGAGCCACATCATTCTACCCCTTGCTGTCCACATTCCAGCTACTATGTCTATTACTAACCCTTCAAACCTGTGAAGAGCCATTCCCGAAAGAATTTGGCTTTGGATTTGACATTCAAACTCAGAATTTAGAATGAGTTATAAATTCACCCAAAAGAAGCAGTAATTTGTTGTAATGTACCTCAATGCAAGGCATGCTGACAGCAATGTAAATAGCCTTGCCATTCTTCACAGATTCAATCTGGGTGATGCAGTGAGAGCTCTCTACATTCTGAGCAGGATCCTGGCCAGTGGCTATGAAGAGTGCAGAAACAATGTTGCTGGCGTGGGCATTGAACCCACCAACAGTACCAGCCATAGCAGACCCAACTAAGTTTTTATTCACATTAAGCCCCGCAAGGGAATCCATATTGGTTTTCAGTACTTTCCTCACCACTTCTTCCTTGATAATTGCCTCGCATACTACTGATTTTCCTCGCCCTTGAATCCAATTTACCGCCGCTGCTTTCTTGTCTGAGCAGAAGTTTCCTGTGCAATCCAAACAAGCACATAAATAACAAACACCACTAATTAATCATAGAAAAATGCCACTGAAATATTAAATTCTATGATAACAATGCCACTGAATTGTTCTCTCAGAATCGAAATCCAAAGGGAAACAAACATTAAAACATGATTACAAAGGAATGTTTGGACGCCGTTGTATATACGCAACTTATTTTCCCTCACAACATGCAACAAGCATGAAAAATCCATTTCACAACAGTACAACTCACAAATATATAATTAGAAACGGAAATTGAGAAAAAACTTACCAGAGATGCCTATAACTTCCATGTCAGGGAAGTCATTTTGAAGGTATTCTAAAACATATTGAACGCCCTTGGAGATCATGTTCATCCCCATGGCATCTCCAGTGCTGCAAGCAAACCTGATGTATAGATTCCTGCCTGCTATTTGGCATTGAATCTTTAGAAGCTTTGCAAATCTACTAGACCTGAGCAGTGAACCTCCCATTTATCACATATACAACTTATCAATATTTTACATGAAACTACGGAGATTGGGTAAACAACAGAAGAAGAAAAATCAGAGTAATTCAAAACAAATAAACAAATGCCTATCAACATCATAAAGTTTGTGACAAAATCTTCATTAAATTGGTTGATAGGTCCTCTTTTTGGTCCTCAATTATACAAAATTACAATCCACGCTACAATAAAAAGGTTTTGGCTTGAAAATCTATGGTTTCTTCTAAGAAATTAAAATCGAACACAGAAAATTAACCTGTTGAAAACGGCAGCAAGAGTATCGAAGTTGAGAGGGTCCTCGACGAATAACATGAGCTGTGCAGCCCTAACTGCAGAGCCAAACCTAACAATTGGAGCTCTGGTCATGGCGTCTTTGTGGAGGACGCTGATGGCCCCACCGGAGGCGTAGATGGCCTTGAGGCCCCTATTGATGCTGGCCACCAAGGTACCCTCCGTCGTCGCCAAAGGCACCATGTACTCTTTTCCGTCCAGCAACAGAGGCCCGGCCACTCCCACCGGAATCTGCACATACCCCACCGGATTCTCACAGCACTGTCCCAGTATCGACTCATAGTCAAGCCCATCCAACGGTAGACCCTCCAGCGAACGGCCCGTCGTCCGCTCCAAGGCCTCGCGTCGGATCGCCGCCGCTCTCCTGCAGTCCCCGAGTTTCGCCTCTAGCTCGTACGACGCCGTCGTTCCGGACAACACCGATTGGACGATCTCCTCGTCTTCCTTAGAGAGGAGCGTCTCGTCCTTTTTCTGTCGCGGCGGCGGCAGTGGGGTTGGTTCGAGGCCGACGACGTCGTTCCAGTCGTCGTCTTGCGGGGTTCGGGGAGCGACGAAGGACTGAACGAAGTCAATGCCGAAGAAGCCGAGGAGGTAGATGACGGAGGCGAAGAGGGAGAAGATGGCGGCGATCTCCGAGAGCGTCACCACATGGAGCGGAGTGGACGTGCGAATCTTCTCACGCCACCTGGTGAGGAGGAAGTAGGCGACTGTGAAGAAGAGAGTGACGAAGAGGCCATTGGTGAGGTAAAGCGGCAGAGGAAGAGCATCGGAGGCCTTAGGGTATGAATTGGGGTCGGTGGCGTCGGCGGTTTGGTTAGGGCGGCGGCGGCGGTTGAGGGGTTTGGGGTTGGGTGGTCGCCGGCGAAGGTCCATGAATTTGGGTGCCGTTGGAGAAAAATGGGGGAGACTGAGAAAATTGAAATTCGGAAGTGAATATAAAATTGAAGGCCAGAGTGAGGTGTCTTTTATATATATATATTTTAATGGACCCGAATTAAACGAAAACGCGGGGTTTTAGGGAAAGAAAATCGCGGGAGTGAGATTCGGGTCCCACTGAAATGGTTTCACAACTCTCCACTGCACTTTCTTTTTTGGTATTCTCAGTTACATTACGATAATGACTAAAAGAAAATAAAGACTAGAAAGCTCATGTTAAGCAAATCTCACAATTTATTCATTTAGCTTCTAAAGTGATGGTTAAGGTGGAATTCAACTTTAATTACAAGGCTACTAATAATCTCCTTGTCATATCATCGATTTCACCAGGCCCGGCCCCTTTCTATTGTGTCTTAATTATTAACTCTCATTTTTTATGTAAAAATACGAAGAATTAACTTGTTCAAGTTAACTAAAAAATTATCATTTAAGATAAATAAATTATATTAATTTAAACTTCAATGTAAAAAATTTAAAATCTAAGGCTAAGGCAACAGAGAATTCTAATGAAAAATTCGAAATCGTAAGAAGTTGAATTTCACATGTTCCAATATTATCGTGAGAAATCTAAAAGTTATCTGAATGTTTTTGGAAAATGTATAAATATATATATATATATATATATATATATGTATATTAAAAAGAAAAAACAATTGGGCCATCCCGAGACAAATGTTCTGAGGCGGTTAAATAGTTGGGCTCCCATTTGTCCTCCTAATATGAATTTAAATTTTGATTATTTATTTATTAATTAGCTTTTTCCTAGTTATATACGACTTTCATTGGAACCTAGGTTTTCCCTAAACCTTTTCCTTCTTTTTTACCCTGTCCTTTTTTCTATTCCAGATAGCAAGGCTAGAACTTGCACTATATATATCAGCAGCACCAAATCTTTTTATTATTTCTCATCTCAAAGAATCAATCGCTGAAACTGAGATGAAGGGAGTCCTGCGTAGTTTCTGCTTTGAAAGAAAATATTTCAATACAACAACCTGTGGAAGAAACTTTTTTATCGGACCCATCGACCTTCTATCAAATTTGATTCCACATCGATCAATCATTTCGACAAAAGGTAAGTCTTGTAGCTTTGTTTACATATGACATCAAATGTGATATTTGTTTGTGTTTTTTATTTGAGTCAATAATACAACTTTGTGTTAATAATATTGTTTCTATCATGACGAACCTTTGAATACAATTTATATGGGTGCGAGAATGATATCTAATCTCGACTTTTGAATTGCATCTAATAGACTACCAACATATTTAATGAATGCAATTTAACGACTTATGAATTCAATACTTAGTATTCAAACTTACTAAAATTATTTGTTTCATTAGCAAGATTGGAGGAGCAGAATGCTAAGAGAAACGAGAAGTCAACCTTAATAGACCTACCCAACGAGATCATCTTCGACATCCTTATGAGACTGCCGACAAAATCACTTTTTGACATCCGTGGCTTATCCAAGACCTCTTTAAACATAGTTGATGACCCATTTTTGGCCACGCTGCACACTCGACGTTTACTTAATTCTGCTACTGCTCCCGTTGAAGTAGCTCAACTTATGCTTTTTGTTCAGATTTGGTCCTTTGAGGAGGGTAAGCACTTAACAGCCTTGCAATCATTGAAGTACAATATTGACAAGCACCGCTTGAACAAAAATGAAGACACTAGTACAAAGATCTTTTCCAATGAAGATTATTATGAAGTAGATTTTGTTTTTTGCAACTTGTTTGGTTTTATAAAAAATTTGGGGAGATTTGGATATCCATGCTTACTGGTCAATCCTTTGAGAGGAGAAGTTCTAGAAATCCCAATGAATGACCTCGTTCCAACCGACCATACAAACTGGGACGATATAAAGTGGTATGGCATGGGATTTGACAGTATAACTAGCACACATAAGATTGTTTGCATTGCTCAAAGTGCATCATTCGGATACGTGTCAGCTTATGTCTATACATTGGGCTCAAGATCATCATCATGGAGAGAAATACACTCAGTTCCCCAATGTGAGTTTAGTAGGAAGAATGTATCTGCATATGGAGACATGCATTGGTTGATTGAAAGTGATGTAGATGGAGGAAACTCTAATCGTATTATTTATTTCGATTTCAAGAAAGATGAATTTGTTTGGATCCCTTATCCTAATTCGTCACAGGGTTTTGATCATGGTTTGGATGCCATGTATTTACTTAACTTGAGAGGACGTTTGGCCATTTTGTCATCTGGGGATTTTTCGCTTGAGATATGGGTGCTAAAAAGTTATGAAGAGAAAGAGTGGACGTTAGATTACAAAATTGACAACAAAATGTTTCCTCATCATGATGAGGACGAGGTTATATCAATTGACAGTTGTGGTGAATGGGAACATGGCATATTTTTCATAGAAGAAAATCCTCCTATGTTTTACTTTTGGGACGCAAGATATAAATCCATAAAATACATCAAAGCTGAAACATTATTCCCAAGCATCTTCAGTTATGATAATCTTTATTATCATGTCTGGAAAAGGCAGTTGCGGTGGCCTCCGACGCTGAGGATCTTCAGTTATACTAGAAGCCTGATTTCCTTAAAGACATATGGCAATTTAGTTAAAAGACAAGCGTGCAGGCGGCAAATCATGGAAACAACAAAATCAAGGACATGGCATTTTAATCTTGTGCGCAAATAAGCTTTTTTCTTTTGGTCGAAATGTGTGCAAGTAATAAGATGGAGTTGCAAATTTTTATTTTATTTTATTTTGTCTTGCAACTTTCATGGAGATAGGACTCAGTAACTTTGTTTGAGTATGAATTACTGTTATACGATATGTGATCATCGTGATTGACATTATATAAGAGCACTCCTGTTTCATGATCATTGAGGATGTTAAATGATATGATACAATTTATATGCTTACCTAGGTCTAACTCATCTTAGCTCAGTTGGTAGAGGACGTGGCTTTTAACCACGTTGTCTTGGGTTCGATTCCCACGGACGGCTATTTGCCTTCAATTTATTATTTTGAGATTTTCTACTCTGCATAAAGTCCACCTTTATCAACTGTCTACTATTGTGGTGGAGATTAATTAATTATTAAACAAATTATGATTATTTTATTGTGGTGGCCATAATTCAGCCGAAAGTGTTTTCTACTTTTGACTATTGTTTGAGCCAATAATCAACAACACCAACTTGTGCTATTTCTTGAGTTGTATAATATTTATATTAAAAGTGAAAATAAAATTTGTTTAAAAAAAAAAAATCATTTTAACACAGATTCATGCATAATTTGTATCAAAGCCCTCAAGCTCTAGAGTTCTACATAAATATATAAATTTAAACAAATTCACAAGTTTTAAACCCTTATTTATATTATATTATAATTAAATAAAAAGTATATACAAAGCTAGCGATGAGCAATACAAACTGCAACGTACAGAAATATAAGAGAAATAACATTCAGCTTCAGATCTCATATTTTCTTATCTTTGGAAGTTCCAGCAGCCCGATTCCGCAGTACTATATACTTATATATTATAGCAAAAACTAGAATAATAAGCCCACCAATAGTAAATGATATGTTGGACATGGAGTAGGTGTTGCCAAATTTGCCAATCCCAACACGCTGGCCTTTGTTTGAATCAATTTTATTGCCCTCAATGTTGTAGCTTCGACCCATCCTTGCTTGAAGACCATCCCTATAACCTGCACGATATTCGTTGCTGAAGTCGAAAATCCCAACATCTGAGGCTTCAGATGAGATGATTTCATTCTTACGAATGTTCCAGCTCTCACTATTTTCATTTTGCGGAAGCTCCTGTTCATTTCTTTCTCCAGAATTCTCTTGGAGGCTTTCATTCAGTTGTTCAGCTTCTTCTGTTCGAGATCCATCTTATATATGCAAATATAAAAATGAAAAAGAACCTTCAAATCAGTGAACTTTGAGCATACACACATAAAATCACATAAATTACCTGCTATCGATGAAATCCCAAAAGTGAAAACAGAAGCTAAGCAAAAAATGAAGAAGAAAGCTCTTGAACTTTTCATTGATTCCCGTTTCTGTCGAATCTGCGACCTCATGCTCAATATATAGCCACTGGTCAATATCTTAACTATTAAGCTAATCAAAAAGAAACTTACGGCTCATAATGCCATGTCAGCAAACCAACCACTGGTCAATATCTTAACTATTAAGCTAATAAAAAAGAAACTTACTGCTCATAATGCCATATCAGCAAACCACACGGGGCTCCAGCCATCTACTCGGCACTATCTACAAATATGATACTGTTCACAGATACTGCAGCCGTCACTGTTCATTGGACTTCTACAACTTAAGTTTTTCTCTGAGTCAAGACTCAATTATATACTTTCATAGATCAACCAAAAAATAAAAATAATGGTTAACCAAACCAGGAAGACAAATTAACAACAACAACAAACAATTAAATCAAAGATTACAACAACAGCCAGCTACTACTACTACTACACATACTGAACAAGATGCCATCAAACCAGATACTGGGAGCCTCTTGCTCCATACAAGTGGCTTCATCTGCCAAACACAACCACAAAGATATAAAAACCAACATTTCCTATGCTCTCTCTCTGTTTCCTGCCCCCCGCCCACACTTCATAATTGCAGGCTTCCAGTACATCTTGGAAAAAGACCATGCACAAAGGCTTTTTTTTCATTGAAATTGCTCACCCCATATGCAGACTCAGTTAAAAATTCTTCTCTAACACATGTGACACACCCACCATGCATGTTCTCTCTCTGCCCAACCCCACAACCCCCAAAAGTGTACCAAAATATACCAATACCAGAGTATATACAAAATACACAATACCATATTATATAGCAAAATATACCAATACCAGAATATATGCATTAATAAGCTCCATCAGTGGTTTGAACTTTTAAGGACACAAAGTGTTCCACAAAGACTCTTTACATGGTATATGCATTAATAAGCTCTATCAGTGGTTTGAACTTTGAACCACAAAGACTCTTTACAAAATTCAGATCAAGCATTCAATGTCTGAAATGAAATTTTCTGACCAAAAAAGTATGAAATCATTTGAAAAGCCAGAGGATGTGCTTTGTTAATTGGCAGTTTCATGTTCCAAGATGTATTATTGACAAATGTCATCCATTTAGCTTGTATCCTGCACTGTCACATGAAAATGTGGGTTATGCAGCTGCTTGTTATTTTTTATATTGAAAAGATGTCACACATAAATAGCTTAAATACAAATCCAATGAAAAACAAATAAAAGGATAATAAAAGCTCCCCCAACTAACCTGAACCGTGAACTCATTTCATCACATACCAATAGACCTCTCGAGGCGCATCTTCAATCCTTTTGCTGCAACATCTACACCTAAAAAATCCACAAAAGTTCATTTATTGCCAAGATTCATTAGAAATAAAAACCTAAACAAAATAAAACATCCTTACTTATATCATCATTGTTGGTAGATCGCATGTCCTTGTTGTCAGTGTTGTGTGGTCACTGCCACCAGTATCAGAAGGGCTAGCCCAAGCCCACTACAATTCCCCACTGTCAGCCCGACCGACTAACCCAAAAGGTTTTCGTTGGCACTCAAAAGACGCCGTTAAATATAAAAGAAACTAAATCAGAGTAAGCAAGCAAGCCGTCTTAGCTCAGCTGGTAGAGAGCGTGGCTTTTAACCATGTGGTCGTCGGTTGGATTCCCGCATACGGCGATTTACCTTCATTTTATTGTTTTGGGATTTTCTACTCTACATCGATTGTACCAGGGTCGGCCCCTTTCTACTGGGCCACAATTTTTTATATATTTTAATTTATGTGCTAGATTCACTCTTATTTTGAAGCAAAAGCACGAAGAATTAACATGTTTTTTTTGTCAAAAAATAATTAACATGTTCAAAGTTAACTAAAAATTTATCACTTAAGATAAATTAATGACATCAATTCAAATTTCAATGTAAAAAAAATTAAAATCTAAGGTTAAGGCTATTAAATTCAAAATCTTAAGAAGTGGAATTTCATATATTCCAATGTTATCTTGAGAATTCCAAAGTTATCCAAATTTTTTTTTTTTTGGAAATATTAAATGAATATATAAATATATATTAAAAAGAAAAAAATTGGGCCCCCCCTAAGACAAAGTGCCTGAGGCGGTCTCACCTCCACCCTTGTCCAAGGCCGGGACTGAATTGTACACAACTCAATTTTTTTATAAGCATAGAATACGGGCTAGTGCTTTTTTGACCAAAATTAAAAAATAGGGCCTAGTGCTTTGACATAATCACTTCACCAAGGAGTGCAGTAAACGTCTCCTTCTAAACGTAGAAGTCTAAAAATGCATTGCCCTCATGTCATAACTTACCCAGTACAATGTGGCATTGAGGCACAAAACTCTGTTCTACATAAAATAAGAGGCAAGAAGGTCGGTGCTAGTAGCAAAAAGAGGTGGGTGTACTACCCTCCAAGCCTATGCGCCCAAAATATAAATGAGGAGTTTAAAACCCAAATTTTCATACTCCTCTAGTAGGCAAATTTCTTCGACCAATAGCTACACTTGGAGGACCTTGTACTCATCTATGAGGATCATAATCGAAATTGAACATAGTTTTACTTGTTGTTTCTACATTGTAGAATAGATCATGGCCATGTGGAATAACAATTTGTTCACAAGTATATGGATTAATAATATACACATGATAAAATTGGGAGGTGGCATTGAAAATGCAACCCGTTGAGCCCTTGAGAACAAAATTTTGAATAGATCACAGATATATTTCTATTGTCCACATATCTCATCAATCTATCTTATTCATTTGGTTTTCAGCTCTGTACTTTTCTTCAGAGCAAACCCTTGTGCGTGAACGACAAGTTATATTGGCCAAGCTATAAGCATTGCATAAGTTGCATTTTGATGTTCGAGGTTGGAATGAGAGTTGTATCGCCCATTTTACGATGAACTCGGTGGCGACCCTTTCCGCGATGATTTAATTAAGATGGAAGGATGCCTAGGTTTATTAGGTGAGTTGCATAAACGTCCTGATCCGCCTAGGTTAGTCATTTCATTTCTTTCGTTTTCTTTAGCCTCTTTTGCTATAGTATTTGCTTTGTTTTTGTTTTATTTTGTCAACACTATCTCATCTCCTCTTATTGCCTCACATCTCATCACGTCCTCACAACATACTCCACCCATGACTTGAAGGAGTGAGATTGTAGTACTAAGTAAGGTCGTCTCATCTTGTCTCCATGTTTTAGTCCAGAGTAGAACAAATGGTGGTAGGCCAAGAAGTTCATAACTTACTACCACCACATACACTTGTTTGATAAGTCTTAAATCGTAAAGAGAAATTAAATTAATCGTACTTGCAAGTCCTAAACAAAATGTTAGGCACTCCTATTTCATTTGTAACACAACTTAAGACCAAATGAAATGCCAGCAAAGCTATAAGGGGAATGAACTTGAGAAACAATGATTTCCCATTTGGAAACTTATTGAAACAAGTCTTAGGAAAGCCATACCTTTATTTAGACCTTACATAACACAACAAAATAACCACAACCGTGATCTAAATATTATATATATATATATGGGAGCCCATCACATGACACGTAAACTCATGTTTCACATGCCCCAAACAAAATCTGCTTCTTTTTTTATCCACCGCACAGCACATCACATATTCACATATTTAATACATCACATCACATCACACAAGTACGAAAAATTGATCAAATACAAAAAATAGTGTATATTATCAGCATCCTCCTTTCTATCAACAAAGCATAGCAAACTAATCAACATCAACACTTCACGTCCTCACAAGACACTCCACTCATGGCTTGAAGGAGTGGGATTGCAGTACTAAGTAAGGTCATCTCATTCTGTCTCCATGTTTTAGTATAAAGTAGAAGAAATGGTAAGAGGTCAATAAGTTCACAACTTACTACCACCACATACACTTGTTTGATATGTCTTGAATTGAAAAGAGAAATTAATTTCAATATATAATTTCAATGTATTGCAACTCCTAAACAAAATGTTAGGCACTCCCATTTCATTTGTAGCACAACTTAAAACCAAATGAAATGCCAACTAAGCTATAAAGGTAATGAACTTGAGAAACGAAGATTGTCCTGTTGGCTGCGCAAATCTCACGGCCTGGTGCTCCGGGCCGAGGGGATATGCGTTAACACGTGACGTCCTTCTTTTGGATGCGATGCGGTTGTGCACGGGCATGCCAGCACGGTCTACCGTGTGTCGGGATGGTGATGTGGTTTGGATAGAATGGTTTAAGTGGTGCGCTTGTTTTGAGTCTGACTTCTAATCAAACGATTGTGGCCGAGAGAGGAACTGATCTCGGCCGTCAGGTTCATGGCCTGAGCTACAAGGCCGTTTAATGGTGGTGTTGATGGTGGGTTTTGGGCGGTCCTCCGGCGCGTTGCTCAGAGAGCGACGGTCGTATGATATATGGGGTGAATGAGAGCGTAACAGAGATGGTGCTCCGGCGCCTTGAAAATCAAGGGTTGTATGATATATTGATGAATGGATTTTCCTTACAATCTATCACTACTCCTAGGAAAGCAAGTAAATGTATTGAAAGTGCATTACAGGAAAATATAATTTGCTTCGTGTGAGGCTTTTGGTTTGGTGTTTGAACCCTTTGAATGTAGCTTGAGCTTGGTATTTATAGGAAGAGCTCTGGAGGAGTAATCGAGGTTGAAAATCTACATGATGGAGCCTGATCAGAGAAAGTGGATAGTCCAATCGACATTTGGGATCATAAAGCATGGTGGTGTGACCCCATAAATCCTGGTAAATCTTGGTCGCCGCCCTGATCGTGGGTTCTGCGCCTCTGGCTGTGGGGACGCATTTAATGCTCTGGTATGTTGGTTGGTTGATCTGACCTCAAGTTGTAAGAATATTTGTAAGAATGTTTGCGCCTAACCACTCTGATTTTTATCACCAAATCCTGACTTTAGCCACTTCCCTTCTTCCCTCGTGCATTAAATGCCTTCTTGCGGCTAGTGGGTTTGCTAGTCAGAGGCGTTACTTCATTAAATGAAGCGTGGGACCCTGCTGCCACGTGGTTA